CTGTTCAACATTGTCAAACATTGTCTTTTCGGGTCTTTTTCTTCTCCTAAATGGTGTTATTTAACTAATGGGTGTATGAATGTAAAATTCCGAGGTTGAAAAGAGTAAATAATAATTGATCAGTCTTATCGATTCATTGATTTGTTTTTAGTTTTTTTTCTATTTTTTTTTTTTTTGGTTTAGAAATTATCAAACCCATGTGAATTATTTAAAGCCTAAAATGTTTTTGGGATTGTAGGACCATTTTTTGGGACGGGTTGAATGATTATTGCATTAACAATATTTTGGGAAATAAGATTGATTTTTTCCAGAAAAAAAATCCTACCCTTTAACCCATAGCTCGAGGCAAAGAGATAGGTCCATACCTTTCAAAGATATATACGCTCACCTGAATGTAACGAACTCGTTTGCAATTCGAACGCTGTGGTTCAAATTTGTAAAGCTCTTAAATAGTAGAGCTATAGAATGGCGTTGATCTGAATATTTCCAACCAATCATATTTACTTTTATATTTTTTTAGACGACTCGTCATCCTTTGTATTATTGACGGTTCAGATTATAAAACATTAAAGTTGATTTCAATATTCCATTGAAATGAAAGTTAATTTTATTATGATTCAGTCAAATATTCCATTTTTTTAGTTCCATCATTGGTCCGGTTTACAAGTTCATGTTTAACGTTTTAATGACAGTTTACAACATTTAATAGGAATAGTACTTTCGGGTTAAAAATGAACTTTAAATTAGATTAACTTAAAAAACATTTTTTTTAATCTGCCCAAATATATTTTTAAATCCTATTCACTCGCAAATATTTCCAGCTATTTTTACTGGTGCCACAACTGAATGAATTTAAGTCTGCTACGAGGTTGGAACCTTGGTCCCACCCTTTTACTGTCGAAATAGTTAAATGTATCCGCTTCTTCTCTCGCACTTCCAGATAGTGGAACTTCCTTCCTCTTGCTTGCTTCCCTGGTAATTATAATGTTCAAAACTTTAAATGTAATGTCATACGACATTTTCTGATGTATTGATCTTAATGACTGTCTTTCTCTTTACCCTTTCCTGAAACACCTCTATTTACACTTACTTTCATTCTATGTAACCCCTTGTGTTGTAGTGGCACTCCCGTCTTGTTTGGGGTGAAAAGCTTAAAAGTTATATCTATTAAACTACCCGTGACTCTTTGGGTCACTGACAGTTCAGGTTATAAAACACAGAAGTCGAAGTCATCATTCCATTGAAATGAAAGTTATTATGATTCATTTAAATATTTCAATTCGTTCGTGTCATCATTGGTCTAGATTACAAGTTCATCTTTAATGTTTTACTGATTGTTTACAGTTTTTAATAAGAAAAGAACTTCGGGCGTAAACTTATAATTTTGTTTTATGAATTATGCCAAAAAATATTTTTTAAATACGAAAATCATTTCTTTTTCTTTAAATAAAAGCCAAAATATAAATAATTACACTACAAACAACTGGTGTCGGAGTTAACTCCTCCTTAAATCCGTTAACCCTTTCACCAGGGGTCTCTCTTCCCTGGCTATAAATAGCCGCTGACTCTTCGCCTCTATCTCTTTTTCCTTCAGGCCTGTGCACCAACACCTCGAGGTAAATTTCTCTTTTTCCTTCAGGATTTCAGCTATCAACCTCGAAATGTAGTCGCTAACAAGGGATAGCGTGGAAACACGCTAAGCACAATACACACACACGCACGCACATATAGAATATTCACGCACGCACGCACATACAGAATATTCACACACGCACGCACATACAGAATATTCACACACACTTCGTCCTTTGCACTATATATTATGTATTTGTTGTGTTTATAAAAAATAGTTATTGTTGAACAAATTCACATTTTCTTCTACTTGATTATTTCTCTTGTTGTTGTCTTTGTTACATTTGATATTGTAAAAATTGTAGAGGGTCAGTTTTTATTTCTATTTACAACCAATACAAATTGGCTGACCCACTATACTGGAAAATACATACCGGGATTTCTTTGTGTCTGTCATTAACTTAAAATATTTTAATTAAAAAAACTCTGAAGAAAGTTAAAATAAAAATACTTACTGTATAAATAACACTTATTTTTAAAATTTATGCACTTAAAATATGTTTTAAATCAGGTTTACTTAAAAATATTTTTAAACATTTCAAATAATGTTTGTTTAAAGAAAGCAAAAATATAAATAATTAATCTACAAATAACTGAACGAAACAGGAAAGCGAGATCTTTGCGTCCGTCTTTAATTAAAAAATTGTCTGTTAGAAGAAAGTTAAAATAAAAATACTCATTGCAACAACAACACATATTTTTTTAAATCTTATTCACTCAAATCAGATTAACTTCCCAATTACTGCTTCCCTGAGAGCTATAATCTCCAACTATTCAAATGTAATGTCAATCGACACCTCCATTTACCTTGATCTACCCACTATCCTTCTCCTCATCCTTTCTTCTATCACTCCTATCTGCCCTCGCTCCAATCTTATGCAACCCCCTGCATCCTAGTGGCTTCACGCATTTTCTCGGGGCGTAATGCTTAAAAAAAAAAAACTTAAATCATTATGCATCGGACGGACGCACCATGCAAGAACGGATGTAATCGCAGACCTTTAGGATTATATGGATTTCGGATTCGGACTTCTTGCCCGAATTTATCATTCTATATTTATAGGTTCCTCTCTAAAGACGATAAGTTTTTATCACAGGCTTCTTTCTAAGAAAAAGGTGTCAATATGGACATTCGTGTCCAGAAGAAGAAAAAACTAGGTTTCAAAAGGTCGGATTTTCCCATAACACCGGTTGTTATTTAACTACATTCACTCTTCGAGAATGTTCACATTTTTTAAAAGCTATGATTAAAATGGTAAGAAAAACTAAATATATGAAAGTGAATTTATATATTTTCATTGTTCTTGAAAATTGACAACAAAATAATAAACGCTATTTATTTATTAGTGTGTGTATTTACTATCTGTCTATATTTTTGAGATGAGGTATTATGTACACTATTTACATTGTTCGGACTATCATCCACATCTTTGTTGCCATGTTTATCACAACGTTTCAGTCGTTGTACGCTCCGCCCTTCTTTAGGTGGTTGGAATGTCGAACTGAACCCTTTATTTCGCTCACTGGGGTAGACTGTTCTAGTTCCATGCGCCATGTCTAATGGATGTCAGTTATCAGTTATCTCCTACTAATTCCCCTCTCCAATATAACATCAGGACAATGTTCAAAGCTGGACGACACTTCACAGATATCTCTCCGGAGTAAGAACCCCCGCCCCATAGAGGTGAACATGACTAAAGACTGTGTGTACACCACCCCGTGCAGCTGGGTAAAGAAATATAAAGGGTAAACAGGCCGCCCACTTAAGGTAAGGCTTCAAGGACACCAGAAAGCTGGAACACGAGGAGAAGTGGAAAAATCAGGCGTAGCTGACAACATATGGAGAGAAAATGGAGGTCTCCGTGCTATGTGGGATGAGGTTGAAATTATAGACAAAGAACATCACTGGAAAATTCGTAATCTTAAGGAATCATCACATGCTAGGCCACAAAAATCTCCTGATCTGACCAAGCATAGAAATTAATACAATATGGGAACCAATAACAAGGAGTGCCAGAGAAAAGCCATAATACTAACGAAAATTGCATTAGGAGCTCTGGTAAAAACCATTCAACAGCAAAAATTGCAATATGAGCACTGGTAAAAAAATGATTGCTGAAGACATTAGGTTATAATACCCAGAAATTCATGCGCATGTGTCTTCAAGGACACATGGCACAGTGGATAAAGGCGTTAGTTATATCCAGTGACAAGACCCAAAGAGTGTGAGTTCAATACCTGGTTAAGGCAGTGGAGAACTTGAAGAGGGGAATTAAGAAAAGATAACTGATATCCATTAGATATGGCACGTGGAATTAGAACAGTCTACTACAGTAAGCGAAAAAAAAAAGGGTTCAGTTCGACATTCCAACCACCTGAAGAAAGCCGAAACGTTGTGATAAATATGGCAACAAAGATGAGGACAATACTTCGAATAATGTAAATAGCATGTATTTACTATTCATTTTTAATGGGAATTGTTGGCAAAACATCGAGCAATTACCAAATGATTTGAAATTTACTTGTAGTTGATGTAATGACAAAAGTATGCAGGCGTAGGCTTTAAGAACGCTTTATTCAACTGAGAATACACGGTTCACGTATAGTGTCCATTTATAGTCCCAGTAAACCGAAATAGCTCTCTCAAAGAGGAGAGTAACAAAACAAGTGGTGACCACTCTTGATTATTCATAACATTTGGTTCACATATTTTAATGGTTTATTAATTTTTTATAAATTTACGAATAAAAAATTGTTTTCATATTTAATTCATTATACAGTCTACGACGAAATTATTCGTATACACATCAACTTTGAATATTTTTATCTAGTTCTCCGAATCTAATGCCCGTATGATGCCAGATTTTTATATTTTAATAAGTAGAAAAAAAGGAATATAAAACTCGATTTTCAGAACAACAGGGTAAATACAACAAATTTGACAGGCGAATTATTCAAAATAAGAAAAGACAAAATTATTCGTACAGTATGAAAAATTCGATTTAGATTGATTTTGTATATTACATTGCATTGGTTTTAATTGTATTAGCTTTTAGAATGTTGTAAATATGAAACTATTCTTGTAAATAAACAATTTAATAAATAAATAACTAATGTTTAATGTTTTTCTTGCCAATTTCCAAGGACAAAAAATGCAAATGGCTTTTCTCGCGCCACCAGTACATCAATCTTGACAGGACTTTCACCTTGAAACCTGAAAGCAATGACTTCGGCCCCACAACAGGCTCTGGTCTCTTCGTCCTATCGTCAATTGCCGAAATAACTTGTGTTCGTTTGGTCTGGTTTTAGCATTTTGAAAGCGCCTCTCCTAACAAGAACCCAAGTTTCTTCGATTCAACCTGAGTTACAGCCATTGCTACGGATCTGTTTATGGCATACAAACAGCTCATTGAGTGGCAGTTGCGGTACGACGAATCCTGACTGAATGAAAGAAATTCGCATTCTTGTTGGGAGAGACGCTCTCAACGTGCGGACGTGTAAAAACTAGACAAGACGAACAGACGTTCTTCATATAATTTAGGTTTTATTGAAATACCAATCATTGCTTTTTAAAACAATAAACATTGCCGAAAAGAGAAGGTAATTATAATAATAATGGTGCCAGGGGAAAAACACGTGTTTTGACACACCGTTCTTTTGTGGGCACGAACGTCCATGTTTGCCGAAAAAGAAAATGAGAATCACAAAGAAAAGTACGTGAAACAAGAGAAGCAGCATATATGTCATGATTGTCTTTTAGCTAGTTTTCGATGATGAAGAAGAAAAGGAAAACGCAAAATAAACTTCTAAAAATATCGGTTTAAATGTACTTTTGAAGATATTTAAAGGAAATACCGTCTAAAATAAATATGAAGTCTCGAAAACCTCTATCATTTTTTGGGTCTTCTTCTATACGGCATTTTCCTTAAGGACATTGTCGATCATCGCTCTCCACAAAGCCCGGTGCTTTGTAACTCCTAATGATAATGACTTTTTATTATCTCCCCTAAAACTTGCTCTGGCATAAATTGATTAAAGTTCAGCTAGGTACGTTATATATTGCTTTCGTGTATCTTTCAGTCTGTTCTGTGAGTATAAAATATTGCAAGAATTCATTCCTCATTATCCGCCTTTGAAATTCCTACCGTCTCTTTCTTATGTTCTTTTTTATTTCAATATTTTCGATGTTCAAATTTTTGGTCCTTAGTATTTTCAACATCCTTTTGGGGAACCACATTTGTTTCAAGTCTTTTTTCCATCTTTGAGGAGATTGTCTAGCATTCACTACCCTATTGTGGGACCGATACTACATAACAGTTCAGCACATTTTTCTTTGTTTCTACCGAAATGCTGTTGGTTTTATTTTTGTTTTGTTTTTTTTTGTTTGTTTTTTATTTTGTTTTTTTTTTTTGTTTTGCTTTTTACAGTTTTCAATTTTATTCCAATCAAATTTACCTTGATTCCAAAACTGTCAATTGACTTTGCGAAACAAACTACCATGATGTCGCTTGTCACATGATTATTCCAAGTGATCCATTTTTCTCCGGCGCCCATCGGGCCGATTCTCAAGAGGCTGCATTTTCTGTGTGCTGAAAAGATTTTCGATCAAGGGAAAGATTGTATCTTGGTGTCAAGTAAATGTCAGGCTGGTTTCTCGCTTCTTTTCTTGAAATTAGACAAAAACGCTGATTGCTTCAATTGGTCGACACGTCACGATTGGCATGGCGGTGCACGCAGGATATTTGCTTTGTGGTTCGTTTGTCAGTTTGACAAACAAGGAGCGAAAGATGGCGGACAAATACGCAGCGCAGGAAATGTATCTGAGACTTTTGTGTCGAAATACGCACGCGCTCAGCAGTAAGTACGGTAAAGAATAGAATAGTTTGTATACAATAAAAGAATGAAGATAGTGAAGAAGAAGAAGAAGAAGTAGAAGAATCGTATAAATTTAAAGAAAATGATGCAAAAGAAAATAATGTTTTACAAATTTAAATAAAATATATTCACGTCTGAGATCTCGCAACGTTATATTAATTTTATTTTAATCTTCAACCATGGAGAATATAGTTGCACAAACAAACACATACATATAGCGATTTTCTAAGCGTAGCTTAGATGTGGCACAAGACCGAATGAATAGGGCACCCAGTGAGGATCGAACTCACGACTCAGTTGCAATTGTTTTAGTTTGACAAGCTTGCAAACCATTACACCGCCTCGAGGTGCCCCAAACACATACATATAAGCACACACAGTTGCTGATTGGAAGCTGACCGTGACATTATATATATATATATATATATATATATATATATATATATATATATATATATATATATATATTAATAAACAAATATATATATATATATGCCAGCGTTTGGTGTGCGACTTAAGTTTCGTTGGTTACACAACTTGTCGGGCAGAAGATCACGTGAGTGGGAGGTAAAAAAAGAAAGGTAAGACGAAAGAATTAAAATGAGCCGATAGGGTGATCCAGAAACTATTTTTCTTTAAGGACAGAAGTAGTTAAAATACAGGGTAAGGGAGGGTAGTGATTAGATTTAAAATAGATACATTGAATTGTCTGTTATTCATGTCATTTTCGATAGTGAAACAATGCCTCCATATGTGCAGTTACTTCCGGTTTTACAATTAAAAGGAAGCTTCTTTTCTTATGTTTTTGTTATCCTATTTTTTATTTTATTTGTTGTTGTGTAAGTTAATAATGCTGTGTATACTGTTCATGCAGGAATAACTGACTTTTAGAGTTTTTCTATTGATCATTCTTTTTTAGAAGATTGTTTTAATTAAAATGTTTGTCTATTAAATATAGATAATATCTGACAATATTTATATTAGATAATTTAC